TATTTTTACATGATTCAATAAATAAATATTCTATGAATGCATCAATTTTAATTTTTAATATATATTGATAAATATGACCTACACAAACAGGCTCTTTTGGGATCCTCCATAATTTTTAAGAGTGGAAAGGGGTCCTGAGAGCAAAAAGTTTAAGAAACATTAGTATAGGAGTTAGAATTCTTGATTCCCAGATTCACATTTTTCTCTGGACAATATCGGACAATGTTGCCCGGATGGTCACCTCTCCTAATGCCTCTTATGTTAGATATCTTGTTGGATGTCCACATGTGCTTCATGCAACATATTTTAAGTTCATTTTAAGTGCCTCTGAGAAACAAATTCTTCTGTTCCCCCCCCCCAAACCTTCTCCCCAAGTTTTCCCCAAACTTCAAAATTACACGGTCAACATCTAACAAAATGACTGCCGACTTCAACAGCAATGATTTTGGACTAGTTGCAGGGTGCGACCTTGAGAATAGGTATGCTGAGTTTTGGGCATTCTTTGAGCCTGCTTCTGTTCCTGCAGATACTTCATTACTAAACTAGGTAACATCATCAGTGCAGGGGGGGATGGAGTTTTCTGGCTCATCAGTGCATAAGAAAATGGAGCCAGCAAACTCCATCCCCCCCTGCACCTGATGATGATATCTAACCTGGTGACGGAATGTTTGCAGGAACAGAAGCATGCTCAGAAAACATTAAGAACCAGGAGTTCAACCCTGAGCTACATACATTCTCCTGTGTAGAAATGAGCTACATTTCTACTCTTGCCATCTTCATTATGGCAAGAGTAGAAATGAACCAGTTTGTCTCTGAGGGCCTCCTGCTCCCCATTCTCCTCCACCCATATTTTTAAAACAGCGCTGCTGAGAATTAGTCATTTCATGCACAGATGTGGAGCGTTGCAAGGGGCTACAGATGAATCACAGCTTACCTACCCTGGTCTAGCATAAGCCTTTTTCACCAGGCCTTTCCTGCCCCCTGGAAGCGTCGATTGAATTACAAGCCAGTGGGATGGTGAAGAGCCTCCATCACTGCTCTTTATTGATTATATTTCTGATTGTTCAGAAATTAGACCAAGAGACAGAACAAGAAAGAAGGGAATGAACTGTACTGCAGCTGGCCCACAATCGCCCATTCCCGTGCCTGCTTGTCTATAGCCACTAGCCGTGCCTCTCTGCATCTCTTCCTGCAGTTCCCCCCAACGACCCTGAGATCCACAATGGTCCCATCGTCCATGTCATATCCAACATTCCCTACAACCTTTCATGCCGCGCAGCTGGAGCCAAGCCAGCAGCTGAAATCACCTGGTATCGCGATGGGCAGAGGCAAGAGTCAGCCATTTACTCCAAGGTGAGTCAGTGTGTGTTGAGCAGGGGAGCAACCTGGGAAATTGTGCTTCAGAGTTTTAGGGTAAGCTCAGCCCAACGGTCTTCGGTCATCAGTTGTCACAACTGCCCATTGACAAATGGGCATGTTAAGGGGAAGGTTCAGAATGTATAATGTGGGCCTGTGCAAGAGAAAGAGAGGCACAGGGGAGAAGGCCCGTCTCCAAACCAGTTGTGAGCAATCCATGGTACTCCAGATATTACTGTACTACAACATGCAGCCCTATCTTCCTAGAGTTGCTAGAAGTTGGAATATAAATGCCTCTCCTTCATTCTCCTGCAGTCCCTGATGGATGATGGTAGGCGGGAAGTGGCTGTCAGCACCCTCCTCTTAATCCCAAGCAGCCGAGATGTGGGCAGCTCCTTCACCTGTCGCGTCAGCAACCCTGCAGCCCCTGCTGGCAAGCAGACCTCAGTCACCCTTAATGTGCAATGTGAGTGTGCAGGGCATGGACCTGCTCAGGAGAAGGACTGGATGAAGGAGGAATGAGTTGGAGATATCTGTGCTGGGGTTTGTGGCCAAGGAGATGGTCAGCTAGGCCCCTGGGTTTGGAACGGCTCTTAATGATAGGCTGAAGATAGCTGAGCTAATCCCCAGCCATAGATGTAGTTATTACATTTGTGTCCTGCCCCCCCTCCCCCATTCCTGCTCCAGTGAGTTCAGGAAATCCTCACAAAGGATCGTTATCCCCCCCCAAAAATAAAGATCAAGAGGGAGTCGATCCAAGATCTGGGCTAAGGTCGTGCAGGAGGTGACCCACAGAAGTGAATCCCCAAATGGTGATCTGCTTTGTGAAGAGGGGCGTCCTTTTACCACTGGGGATCAGGAGGCTAGAAATGAAGGAGGACTTGGGGATGTTTAGCCTTGAGAAAATAGGGCAGATACAATAGCATTCTTCAGAAACCAGAAAGAATGCCACAGAGGTGGTCTGTCATTTCCAGAGTGTAGGACAAGAAATAATTTGAATTAGGGGATGGCAGATTCTCTGTCTGAATGTCAGGAAAAGCTTCCAAACAGTAAGAACCGTTCAGTAGTGGCACCAGTGGTCTTGAGGGTGGGGTGGGCTGGGCTGGGCTGGTCTTCATCAGAAGCGTTCAAGCAGAGGCTGGACAGCCATCAGTCTGAATGCTTCAATTTGGATTCCTCCACTGAACTGTGGGTTGGACTTGATGGTTAAAATTAACCTCTTCCAATTTTAGGATTCTGCACTGATTTATACATATGGACTACCAGTAGGAGCTGATCTTAGCATTCTGTTATTAGAACCCCTGACCACTATGAAGCA